AATTACCCAAACCATTTAATAGACCGTGGTGATATTCCCATAGCCATGCTTCGCACAACTCATAATAATTTATTTGACCGGGAAATTAATATACCTATACCTATCCATCGATTGTATCTACGGCGTAAATGAAGCAAACCACCTGGACCTAGGAAAATTTACTAACGAAACCATGTTTTACTTACAGCAAGTAAACGTGGCATCATTCACACAGAAAGAATTGATAACCGTATAGTTTCAATCTTGCAGACGTCAGTAAGGTCAGAATCGTGACAAGCCTATTGGAAAATATAATGAACTGTGTCCTGCTTCGAGAAAACGAGTCAAAACCACCCAATTCTTTCTGAATTACGTCAGATTATCTGATCTGTAAGCACCCAGGTGGCATTTACTGACAGGAGCACCGGGAAGGATCATCTGAGGTGAGGTGAGGTCATCAACAGCTTTTAGCCAATAAATCACGACATGATGGGGCTAAATAGTTGTTAGTGTACCAAACCGTTCGCCTGGTCATGACGCGTCGATTGGTACCCAGCGTGACTTTCCTAGGTTAGATTTTGAAGTTGACCTATCTATGTAGGTCGTTATAAACCATGCTATTTGTTATGACCTCTGGCGACCTCAATATTGACCTGACCCAAAAAAGTTGTTTACAAAAGTTGTAAGTCGTTCAACGAACTATCAAACGCCCTTGCCGTTTGTCGCTATGATTTGTGCTTTTCGAGTTCTGACGGGGGCCAAAAAAGGCCCCCGCCCGATTCAGAGTCTTTCAGAGCCCGCCCGGAATACGGTTAAGCGCTTGAACGATATATGATAATGCACCAAGTGTTACTCTGACCGTCATCCAGTATCCTCCCATTCCTCGCAGATCCTCCCCCTCCTGCTGCGGTTCGGCCGCCGCCGGCGCCCGAGTTTTTTTTTTGCCCGTTATCATGCCACTCGGAGACTTGTGATATGCGTATGTTTCTTACCGCTGCAGCCTGCAGCGGTAAGAATAAAGAAACATACCAGTGCGCTGGCCATATGAAAGCTGATCAAAAGTGAATGCATTATGTTGTATATGTAATTGTGTAGGCATGAGACCCTCTGTAGAAAGGAGGCCCCTTTAGGGAGGAGGCCCCCTGTAGAAAGGAGGCCCCCGGGATTCCTCCGCCCCTCCCTTGGCCAAATCCTAGCTACGTGCCTGCTCCGACGTACTCGTATCTCCGCTCATTTTTACGTTACGAAAATATGAAACTCGTTAAAAGTCCTCAAACCTTAAAATAATAGTTCTGCATTGGTTACGTTAGTTCGTTACAACGTTATGCGCATATGTTTCAAAATCTAAATACTGATGCAAGTTCTGAGTTCAAATGCTTAAGTGCGTTACGTTAATTCTGCATCCGGCCCGGAGGACCATAATGTTGTGTCTGCAACATTAAACAAAAGTGCCGGATCATTCCAATCAAGAAAAAATGGAAACGCAAGCAAACATTTCATTCATTCGTCGAGCCAGCAATAACAATACTACAATGAACCAAGTTTTGAGCCAAATTTCAAATTCCTTTTTCCCCAGTTATCATTTCTTCACATTCTTCATCAGTGTAACACATTTCATTTTTCATGCGCCTTTTGTCTCGCGCCATCGTTCTAATATGGACTTTGTTCGGACAGAACAGCTCTAGGCTACATACGGGTTTCAGACACCTTTCGATAGATTTTTTTTTGTTGTTGCAAAGGTAAATTTCTAACGGAGTATGGGCGAATGAAAAAGGCTGTTGGCGACTGCACCTGTATTGAGGCTATATCCCGAAGTACCTATTTTTAATACTGGCGAAACCGCGCTCATTTTCACAGACGTGCGTGACTATTTGAGGTTACGCATTTAAAGGAAAAATAATGTTAAATATATTGAACAAATAAACAAAAATATTGTGTTACCAGTTAAAATAAACTTTTATGCTTTACATTTGCTTCTTTAAAGCACAAACATCAAATGCAATGGAAAACCATTACATTATATTTAGTGAAGTTCAAACAAAATTAGTTAAACTTTGTTGAAAGAAACTATTTGGTAGCTAGCTTGCGTATTTGTCTCGCAGCTCGCGGCGGGCGGCTGCGTTAGCTGCATGGTGTGTTGCCAGGCGTTGTGGGGTGTTTTCAGATCATTAAGTGCTGTCTTCTGGGCCTGAGCGGCCGTAAACGACGGCAAAACAGTCCACGGAACGTGTTTTCACGCTGAAATGTCAGAACGGGTCCTCCCATTTCGCGCCAAACGTCTTCCAGAGGGCTCACCTTCAAAGAGAGGCGGTTTTTGCCCCGCTTCGGGCACCTCTCTGGTGTCTGCACCGCTGCTGGGGCGGTATTTTGGGATGGGGCGGAGTGGTGGAACCCACTGGGGTAGGAAGGGAGGGGTTGGTTGTGCTAGTCGGTCTTCGCCTCCTTAGCGGTGTTTTTGCCGAGCTTCGTCATAGCGCCTACCAAGTGATTAATTTTGTTCGAGCAGCAGGTGGCGAGAGAAGGAAAATGAAATATCAACTGAAGAAACGCCATTCGCGAGACTAATCACGCAATATATGCTTTCATTGTCGGGTTATTTGTCATGCTTAGAACTTTGACGGTGGTAATTGAAACCAGGCGCGGAGTTTGTGCAATCAGTTCGCGGGTCGGACTCTGACGTTAAATTCATCACTGGTTTTAATCTGTGGAATTAGCAAGTGCCATTTAGAATGTGTCATGCATTCTCGGAAGGGAAGCTGCGGCTTTTCGATGTTAAGGAATTCTTATTGCTTTTCCAGAACCCTCTTTTCAAGCGCATTTTTTGTTCTCAAAATGATTTAAAGGTATGACAATGACACGTAACTTACTGTATGATATTTCTAGTGATGCGCTGAATAGATCTTACTTTATTTGTTGTTTTGTTTTCATAAAAAAGCAATATTGAATATTGATTAGCTACGTCGTTTTGAGAATAATACCTACACTTTCGTAAACGTTGCACAATCTAATACCCTCCACAAACTTCAAATTTTGAGCACATTTTTGTGTTTTTATCCATCTTATTTCGATAGTATATTATGCTGATGTTCCCAGAGAAATGTTCACTGTAACTTTATCCATGCGGAGTTCAGTAATTAGCGAGCTCACTCTTCCCGCCCCATATCTGTAGTTTTTCTCAGCGATTCGCTAATGAATGTCCTCCAGCCCGGAAAGCTCCGAGTGAAGTTCCGGCTGCAATTCCAGCTGAGATCCTTTTCTTTAGGAACTTCTTTTTAGCGCTAAGCACCGTTGGCAACTCATCCAAACAATGTGTCCCTCGCGGATGCAGTTTCACTGTAGTCTGGCAGGCTTGTGATCTGATTGTCTAAGCATCTATCACGAATGCTGGTCACCGCGTCTTTGCAGATCGCATTCGCTTTCATCAGCTTGGAGCTGACATAATTGATGATCTTAGTCTTAGATTAATCCTAGATAGTTTATTCATGCAATCTGAAATATGAACATACTTGTCATTTGCTTAATCGTAATGTTCTTTTTTATGTTGCAATGTGACAGCTCACAGAACATTGAGAACATACGATTCGTCGAATGTTTTTTTTTTTTCTTTTTAACTGTCGCTCCATTCATGTATATCTGTCTCCCTCTTTGCTCCAACAGCTGAGGGAAAAGTGTTGTGAGGCCGTTTTGAGCCGCTTCGGCGTTTGCTCTTCGCTTCTACAGCGATGGCGTGCGTTCTCAGCGACAGTGGCTGTGATACAGGCCAGATGAAGTCGTTCAGAGCAGTGGGCCATCAGCCACGTAAGGCTATGCGAATGGGGCTGTTCGAAGTTTCAGTACCACAGCATGTGTATTGTGTACGGATTTCAAACCGAAACTTTCCGCCTTTCCTAGCGGTCAGGGAAGCGACAGGCGATGCGCCTGTTCGGTTGGTGCGTTTGTGCTCACATCGCCCACTTACGTAGCTCTCGATAGATGGCGCAGGCGATCGTAACCTGAAGTTATGCTGTACCGCAATACATCTGCGAACACTTCGCCGAGTTTTGACGCTTTGTTTTGCAGATTTTATGGAAAGCTTGGTGGAATGTGAATGCTATTTTGTGATCAGACCAAGATGAAGTGGTCTGAAAGTGAATGAAGTGAAGTATTTTGTGATAGCAAATGTTCTTACTGTCGCTTATGCGCATGGAGCGTAGGCACCAGCCGCTAGCTTATGCCACCGTTCATAAGGTACTGGGTATTCCACCTATCCGTGCTTCTATCCTCAGGATACTGAAATCCTTCTCCTCCACGCCGCAACCCCCCTCCGGGCTGGACAGGCAACTTTATCTCATACGGGCTGCTCCCTTGGAGCGGCACCGCTGCTCCCGAGGGAGCGCACCCCGTAGCCGGGTGCAGTGAGTGCCTTGGGGCTGGGTGGCCTGTCCTCTGGACGGGCTCAGCCCCGGCGACTCACTAGGGTGCCTGCCCAGACCAATGTCTCCCCCTAATTCCTATCATCCTTCCGGCTCTGCAATGGTCTTGTCGACCGAAAGGGCCTAACCCAACAAAACAAACAAACAAAACTGGGTATTCGACAGTCATATGCTCTGAATGCTCCTCCGGGACTGATTGGTGTAGTTCCCGGCTCGGGACCGCTGGAAGCTGTCGTCTGCTATCGTTCGGTGAATGTACCCAGGGATGGGTATTTGACCGGTGCCCATCCAAGTATCTTTGTGCCAATAATAATATGTCACATCTTTGTGCCACTCTGACGACGGATGGAGCGAGTGGAAAAGGCGTTGCGCTCAGCTTGCATTCGCCACTGTATCTTCCTTGTGAGCCGCTGCGCCTTGCTCAAAGTCTCCTTTGTTAATGTTCATGCCATTAGATGCGACTTATTTAACACAGAACTTGAGAAGATTATTTTGTACTCTGCATTTACTGCTGTAAAAATGTGTTGCTTTGGTCTTCATCTTGGTCACCCCACCCTTCCCCTCCCCTTCACTCCCCCCCCTCTGACCCCTCCCCTCTCCATCACACAGGGTATGGACGAGTTTGTGACGCCGGTGAACCTGGAGGTGCAGTGGGCCTCGGAGCGGGTAATCGCCGCTGTGGAGAGAGCGGGAGGCACCATCACCACCGCCTTCTACGACATGGCCAGTCTGCAGGCCATGGTCGACCCCGAGAGATTCTTCAAACGAGGTGAGGGATGGGGCGCGAGAGGGCAGAGACATGGTTCCGGGACGAGTTATGCTTGTATGTGTTTTTATTAGTCTGTGAATGATCAAGAGCGTTAAATAATTAATATCCTTATAGAACATCCATGAATGTAATATCCCTTTCACAGAGTATTGAGAAACCGTGCTTTTGTAACATGTTTTACAATGAAGCTGATATATTATTGTTAGTCATTTCGTATTCTCCCGAAAGGTGAAGAGTTTTTGAAGGCGTTTGTGAAAGTTGCTGGTTGTCTGTAACACCTTTCTGTTTGCTTGCTATGCTTCTTCAGTCCAACGGGCTGTGTTTTCGGCGCTGGTTGTGATTTTCGCGGCTCAGTGGACCAGAGCGCGCTCCCAAACTAGTTGGAATTGTTGCGCTCTCGCGTTGACGGTGCCGGGCATTGTGTGGGATATCGATTGACCTGGGCGGCCCGACGGCCGCCCCGATTAGCTGGTCATGGTCCGTGGGCCGTGGGGACGGCGGGATGAGGGAGGGGAGGGATTGTTGTGCTACAAGACCGTCAGTCAGCGGTTTGAAGATTGCTGCTTGGAACGGGCTAGGACGAAGGGTAGGTGCGGATGTGGATTCTCCGTGTTGATTGGTGGAACTGAGCGAAGAAGATTTATTGGTTTTCACATTATTCGTGCGAATGGGGTTGTGTTTTAGCCCGTGAATCGTTGCATTGTCGCTGATAGTCAGAGTTGATGGCTGAAGCAATAATCAAGAAAGTGTAGTTTGTCACTGGAAATGTTGCTGATGGACATTGAGTTCCGTCTTGCAATCGTTTAACCCGGCATGACTTCTACCGGTGTCAATATTTATGCGAGAGGCTGAAGACCAAAAGCTGGACTTTTTAACCCTCGCCCCGTTGGGGGGGGGGCCATTTTGGCCCCCCCCCCTGTGGTTTTTCCTGAATAGCAAGAAAACGGCGGCGCGCAGCGCCGCCAAATTTTCAGTACCTTTCCGGGCATCAATTTGACACCTTCACACCAAATTTCAAGTCTTAGGTCACCTTAGGTCAGGAGTTATTGAGGTCAAACTGAGGTCATGTTCGAGCAAAAATGAGCAAAAAACATGCAATCTTGAAACGCTCACCAAATCTACAGTTATCAAGCAATTTCAAAGTTCTTTATATGGTCTAATAGACAAAAAGCGGCGCTACAAAACTGCTATCTCGGATTTTCAAAATTTTGGGTTTTTGACCCAAAAAATTTCAAAAAAAATTCATTTTTTAGAAAAACTAAAAAAAAAATCCAAAAATTTTCCGAATTTCGAAAAAACCGGAATATATGTGATAGTCCCTGCGCTCTTCTATATACATACCAAATTTCAGATCGATATCTCGTTTTTTGGCCAAGTTATAGCGAAAAAACTGTTCAAAAATGATGACGTCAAATTTTTGAACTCAATTTTTAGCGATTCTAGACCTTGTACGGCAAAACAAAGACCACCATTGAACTCCCCGTGACGAGCTGCATCGATTCGATACCCATTTTATGCAAAAATATCAACTTTGAAATTTGACCTTATTTGACCTGACCTTGACCTGACCTTGACCTGACCTTGACCAAAACGTGACCTAAGCTGGCCCCAAAGGCTGCCTGACCCACATAATCGCATTTGTCATGTAAAATGGACCATAAAACATGTATCACACGACACTTTCATATTGTGACCCCCCAGTGACCTGATCTCAGTGACCTGACCTGGTATCAGTGACCTCAACTAGCAAAATATGTGTTTGAAGAACATTTCCCCATCGATGATTTTCAATGAAATGCATTTTACTCGATTTTACAACGCATTTCTTGAAATGCCTGTAAACGGTGAAAATTGGACCTTTGACCTGACCTGTGACGTCATCGGTTTGACCGAGGTCAATGAAATTGGGTCACAAGGTAGTTCCCTGATAGGGCTATCCAACACCGTTTGCCGCTTGTCGCTACGTTGCGTGGTTCTCGAGATCTTAGGGGGGGGGGGCCAAAATGCCCCCCCCCCACCCCAACGGGGCGCGTTGCTCGGCAGAGCCCAACGGGGCGCGGGTTACCGAAACCACACCCATCCCAAGTCCCCCTTTTCTACACCCTAGTCCCTCTGACGGACCGATCTCGTCCAATCTAACCAGTCCGCTATTGTCGTCCCCTCGCTCCCGAATCCTCCCCAGTTTACCTCCTCAGTTCTGGGCGCAGTCTCGCCTTATCGGTGCGCTCGAGTGCGTTGTCGTCGCGCGGCTGTTGCGTTCGGCTGTCGCGGAGCCCAGTGGCACGTCTTGGTATTGATCATTCATATTTGTCTCCGAGACTGGGCGAGAGATGTTAGTAACGCCTCCCACTAGCCGCGATCAAAGACTGCTTACAGCAGCGAAAATGCTGGTCGCGACACGGCACTGGCTATGTCGTGGACAGATGAGGTTACGGATATATAATGAAATTTGTCATGGCAGACTGTGGATTGTCGTGAATTAATGGCTGAAATGGGGTGTTATCGGGCCGTAGCAGCCGCGCCTTTGTGGCGCAGAAGGCGTTTGTCGAGTGACTAAAGTCGCTTTAAGCTGAACCAGCCGGAACTGAAGCCTAAGAGTCCAGGCTGTGATTGGGGGTAATTCTGGTCAATTAAGGCCGGTGAATGGTGTCGAACGAGCTTTTGGAGCGGTAGACAAAGGGCAGTGCTTAGGCTTCTTCCGCATTTATTAGCGATTTAGCTGGACATCCGGTGCCATGTGATAACTAATTGGTATGTAGGGTTGGATTAAGAATGGAATTTCCATCGCTTGAGTTGCAAGTTTCTATCACTTAACGCTTGTGTCTTTTCACTGCCGACCTGGAAGTGCGTATTTTAATTACTTTTCGTATTTTAATTGCTTTTTTATACATAGCTCCTTTCATTAAACTGCTCTTCAACTGGATATTTTTTCTTCTTCGGCCAATTAAGTCTGCCGAGCCTTTTCCATTTATTGCTCGATTGGATCAGTACTGTTGCCTACTCTATTCATTTTATCAACAGGAATAAAGCGATGCGTGTTGTTTTCACGGGGGGGGGAGGGGTTGCGTGCGTACAGGCTAGGGTAAAGCAGAGTGAATAGAAAGCGTGTAGTGCTTTCTCTGGAGACGCCCAAGGCTTTCAATGAATTAAGCCACGCACTGGGAAAGCGAAGGCATTGTGTTGCGACAAACTCGTCTTTGAACTCGGCCTCCTTGAGACTCAGATAATACACTGACTGATCGGTGATCAATGATCATGTCAGTAGCTGCTGCCACCTACGTCCTTTTTTTCGGTTTATACGCCTTTCGTCCGCTCGTAGAACGGTGGGTAGGGGAGGTAGATGTTAGGGTCCGCTACCACACAGTTATCGGTTAATATGTCCCTCCCCTCTCCCTACCGCTCCGACCCCAGGTGCTGATCCTGGACCGCGCGCAACTAATTCGACCTCATGCATCCGAATGAGGCTGTCCTACCACTCTTCTCCTGGTGGGGGGGGGGGGAGGCTGGCTAACCAGATGCGGTAGAGGTGCACAGCTTGGAAGGGTGACCATGTTGGAGTGCATAAAGCACTCTGTTTTGTAGCCTGCTACCCCTCGACGGACTCGCCTTAGAGGCACATTTTCTTTTAGAAACTTGTTTCGGAACCTTCTGGCATTGGTTGATTTTTATCATTTTAGGGTAAGCTAATGTCAGTGGGTACTTTTATGGAATACTTACATTTTTACCACGTATGATACTGTTCACTATTTGACCTTTCCCCTACTTACCTTCCTTTTTTCGCGTGTGCTTTGTATTCTGTACAGCGGCGCCAGCCATTTAGTTCAGAGTCGCTGATGCAGCGTTCCGGCACCGGCTCCCGTCATTTAATCAGTCCGAGATGCTGGTCGTACTCGGACCCGAGGCGCTCTGCTGTCAAGACCGGCCACCACTTCAAACACACTCACTCGTCCAAGAGCTCTACCTCGTCGGCCACACGCGTCCACACAGTCCACCCACTCCACACGCGTCCACAATCCCCCCTCCCCCAGGCACGCCCCCCCCCCCTTGGTCGGAGCGCGTCCAATGCATAGCCGATGCTCGGCACGGCCGGCCGTCCTTCTGGAGAGCCTCTTCAGGCGACGACCGGGAGAGGCGGGACGCGCCCGCCCTGAGACGTGGGCACGCCGCGACGGTGCGGCGGCGCGGTGGTTAAGATGGAGGCAGTGGAACCGTCAGAATTCTGCGCACGGTTGAGTGGGCTCCGTGTCGAGGGACTGAATTAGAGCGGCTGCCGGTAGCGGTGGTCTGACTTCATCGCCGGGCCGGGCGGCTAAAATACTGAGGAGGAAACCATTTGAGAGGAAGTGCCACAGGTGGTGGTGACTGGTGGTACGGTCTTCTGCATGGCTTTTACATGGGTTCTGTTTTAATAACCTGTTTAAACTTCAACCAACTACCCTGATAATTGGCATGATAAAATGAGCACATTTGCTAGCCATGTTATGGTTTTTCGAAACGCTGCAATTTTTTGTACCAATAATTTCACTAGTTTACTTGAATACACAATCACTTCCGTATATGTCCATCTTTGGCATCGTGTTCACAATGTATACGTGAAATATCTCGTTTGTCTTCTCTTTACCCCGGCATATTGGACTCATGCCATCCGCCGCCTGTCCATGCCGCGCGGTATCTCGTTTCACGTGATGCCATGCCCGGCGGCACATCCAGTGTCGTGACCCGGTCTTCTGGCTCGCCGGGACCCCTCTGTCACCGGAGCCGCGCCTAATTAGATGCCGTAATGAGCACCGGTACCACGCGACGCTAAATGAGACCGTGACCTCACCTGTTGTCGGCTGCGCTGAACCGTCCCGGGTAAACGGGGCACGGAAAGTTGGCGGCTAGAGAGTTGGGTACTGCTTCTCTTCGGTGTCTTATTCATTTCTCACATGTTTGCGTCTATTCCATGTCTTTTCTATATCGTTTCATTTTTTTTTTTTTTGTCTTCTTGGTCAACTGAT